AAGCGTCAGACTGGAGAGATCGGGAGAGAAGCAGCGGGTTACTCATACACACTCAGAAATGGAATATGGATATGAGACCATTCCCCAGTGTTAGCATAGCTCAGGAGATGGATCTCATCTCACATTTGATTATATTTGGAACCGCTGTGACCTTTTTCCTAATTTGAACATTTTTATTCTCTGGCAGTATCTCGGCTTACTCCTTCACACTGCTCACGAGATACAAAAGCCACTTGTCTTCAAGGTCACTTTAAATGACTACACACACACACAGACATCGGATTCAGGAAAAGTGCCCTCATATTCTCGGCTTCCCTTGGCTTCATTCTAACATGCATGTTTTAAATACCCCGGCCAGAACCAGAAAGCAGCTCCCGCTGTCCAGGCCTCTGTTTGGAGCCTGTTAAATGTGGTGATGCAAATGAGGGTGTCTTGTGCGTGCTGCGGTGTCTTGCAGGGGCTTTGACATTTCGAAGCTTTCGGTTGCTTGGCTCGGGCAAATTGCAGAGGGCATTCACATGCGTCCCCGTGGGAGCCAGTGTGCAGTGAGAGGGATTAAGCAGCACTGCTGGCACTGTTAGCCTCACGCTGCCCTTGTCCGCGTGGACTGTAGGAGCATGCAGGGTGCCTGCCTAATGTTAGTCCCCCTAGCAGCCTCCTCTTCACACTTCGTTTCACTTTATTTCAGCTGCTGCGTCAGCATCAAGGCGATACTACAGTATATGGTGTCCGTGGTGCTTTGATTCACATTGGCTGTCCATGACATTTTGTCATGGGAAATAACATAAGCTTTCTTTATCGGCTTATTATGCAGCGAGTGAGTTTTGAGAAAGTGAAGACAAATCTTTTCTTGGTAGTCTGCATGACCTGCTTTGCTTCCTCTACTGAATTTAGTGTGTTTATTTGCATATAAACATTGGATTTTCTCCCTGCTGCTTGCTTTTGCTGCTCATCCTGATCCACCTCTCTATTTTATGTTCATTTTATCTTACAGCCTATTCAACAACACACAATTTCAGTATGTAACAATAGGTAACCAGTATATCCTTACTGTGTGTCCATGGTCATGGTCATGCCAAGGGCACCGAGCATTAGTGTGCAGTGTAAAATACCACAGCTGCAGGCAGCTCTGAGCTGGTCTGTCTGTACATGCTAATGAGGCGGCACAAAACACTCAGATTGAGTTTCGTATTTGTCGCCTAATTTGAAAGGAGATCAAAAGTATTCTCCGTCTCTCTCTTGTTTCCAAATCTTAAAAGATTGCCCAGGTCCAGCGTACAGTAGAGCTGCAGCAATAAGTCAATTGGTTCATTAGTCAATTGCTAGAAAACTAATTGGCAGCTGTTTTGATAATTGATTTATCACTGAAATCATTTTTGAAAGTTTCCAGCTTCTCATATTTGAGGATTTGTAGTTTATCTCTCCTTTATATCATAGTAAACTGAATATATTCAGGTTTTGTGCAAACAAATACATTTTTCACCAGTTTTTTGACATTTTATAGACAGATTAAAATTGCTAATGAAAATAATCTTCTGTTGCAGCTTTAGTCCAGTGTACAGACATTCACTGTGAATTGCTGTGGTGCAGGGACGTTTCTAGACTTTTAAGACTTGGTGGGGGGGCACAAGTAGGGCACTGACTTATGCAGGGTTGGCATAAAGTATGTGGCTCAGCTTTCTAGTCATTCTAAAGGTATGCAATTACAGTACTGTTTAGGGACTCTGTATTCAAATACACTAGACAAAATTAACACTTTTACACCACATGCAAAAAGCTGCAGTTGGTATAAATAAATTCAAGGGAAACCTTTGAAAATGGCCATGCCAATTTTTCCATTGCCAAAATTTAGCCTGACTATGTTTAGCATTATTTAGCCCCTTTCCCGAGAAGCTAGCACTGCATACACACATGACATGATGCAGTATCTTCACTTTAGTTTAAAAACCAAGCCCGCTGTAGCCTCTAAAGGCAGTGCAGAGTAGAAGATAATGGGGTGGCACTTGGCTTGGCCAATCAGATTTCAGGAGTAGTCAGTGCTGCCCCAGGCGCCCCCTGTGGTAAAACAGCCCTGCTGTGACACCTTGGCACTCCAGGTTAGCTCTAGCACAAACAGAAGTAATAATTACAAACATCAACCATTATATGTTCAGTTTGTCATTTAGAATATATAATATTAAACTATATTAAGCAGAGTGTTAATGTACAGAGATGAACTGTATATTAAAAGAGGACATCCACTTACATTAACAATATTGTAATGCAGTGAAACAGTAAGATTGTTCCCAGCAGACATTTTGACTTGTCTCAGTAGGAAGAGCACAGGTGTTACTAATAACATTAATGATGGTTCCAATGTTGAATACCCAAAGGCAAAAAAGGTAGCACACACACAGATGTCCAGGACAAAGCTGACTAATCTCCATTTCACCAGTTTATTCTGGCCATGTCCAACAAATTAACGTTTCAGCCTGGTGGTCTTCATCAGCGCAGGGAAGGAAACAGCAGTCACGTCTTTTGTATACTGGTGTTGGCACTGATTGGTTTCAAGGGTCACATGGTAATTACCTTCCTACAGTCACATCTATTTTTTTCTTAATCAGTGGACAGTGACTAAAAATAAGTGAAATGGTAAATCCTGTACAGTTTCACAGTTCTAAATGTGTCTAACTGTATATACATTTTGTTTCCTATTTCAAATCAGAGGAAGCATTTAAAACTGAAACCATCATTCAGTCCAGCAGGTGTCATTTTGTTTGTTTAGTGTTTGGTTAGGGCATATTTTACTTGTTCCCTGTGTGAATATCTCTTGTTTTTTCTGAGATCCGTTGTTTGAGTATTCTCTTTGTTGGTCTACCATATGCTTGTCCACAGGGAGATGTAAGCATGTATGTATTACTGATGCTGTGTTGCAATTTATGAACTTCTTATTAACGTGTGTCTTTCTGAGATCTAACATTATGATGGCTCTGTTCTATTTAAGTGCTCCAGTGAGTCACAACAGTGTGAAAGTGAGCCATACCAGGACCATCCTGAAACTGAAGCAGCTAAATGGAATGCAGCCGTCGTTCACTTCATTATTCACACCGGTGCTGTACTGTGACATGTCAAAAATTTTGAAAACCTGGCCTACCATCCACCTTACTTGCCTGTAACCTGAGAGCCTGTCCCTGGGCGTTACAAGTTTGATGTGAAACTGTTCCTGTTTGTCCCTTGTGAGTGTCCCGTTTCACTGGTCTGGGGGGACCTAGTTTGACTCACCTGCCGCAGTATTGGACTCTATATCTGTATCACCCACGTGACTCAATGTCCTGCTGTTGGTAATGGCTTCTGTTCCAGTTGGTTGTCCTCTTCTGGCTTTGGATAGGTTACTCAAACAACAAAAATCGATGCAGTGTTTTAGAGAATCAATACAATATTAAAAAACAAAATACTGTATTACAATATATTTTAGTGTCTCCTAGTTCCATATCTCTAAAACCATACTAAGATATGCACCCCTAAGCTTATATATATGTATATGTAGATGTTGTTTTGATATTGGCATTATGCATTGGCCTTTGCTCACCCTGCTCTCTAAGTAGGGCCACTGAAAAATCTGTATCAGTCGATCGCTACTTGCATGGAAATAACTAATAACTATAACTAGTTATGCTGCTGTCATGTTCCTTCTTTCGCCAGCCTATTATCTGCTTCATAATTAAAATTTCTAACCTTTTCTATGACCAGTCTTCCTGTAGTACAGCACAGCAAGAAAGTCACATTTAAAATGCAATGTGCTGGACTTGATATTTGTTACAAATAATATTGTTGTTCTTACCTTAAAGTAGTCTATAGATGGAGTGCTCAGCAATAAGACCTACTGTCTTTTAATGCATTTGAAGATTGTGTCTTTTCAGTTAACATTGTCTGGAGCGACTGAACATAGCTGCATGTTGAACTGCCCATATTGTGCATGTGTGTATTCAGTTTGATCACAAAGAGTGACCCTGTTGCTAGTGACATATTGTACTTGCAGGGATGTCAAAAATAGCCCAGAGGCTCTGCTCCTGCAGAACAGAGACAGCACGCAAGAAAACGGAGGAGGAGCGGAAAGAGAATGAGTGCGACAACTGAGGCACAAAAAGTGCCCAGTAACTGGGTACAGAGTGAAACGGTGTACAAGATAAAGGGGGGCGTTAGGAAAAAGTTAGAGCAGAAACAGAAATATGGTGAGTTATGGAATATTACTGAGCTGAGAAAGAAAGAAAGAATAAAACGAGTTTATGGTCATGTTTCTGGTCTGGGCTCGTGTCAGCGGGTCCACTTGTTTGAATTTGTGCATTGTGAGTGTGTGTCACCTAGACTTGTGTCCAGGTTCAGTTTGACCTGATTTACTTTACTTTCTGCCAGAAGGCCACTTTCAGAGAGGGAAAGAGTGGCTCCCTAAATCCCATTTTGTCACATATTGGATGTCATACCAAAGCACAGACGTGAGCATGTTGATACGTGCTTGCACCTCAAGCCCTCGGTAGAGTGAGGAATAAAATGTCAAGTAATTAATTCATGTGAAACCTTTTGTTGTAAGGTAGTGAGGCTAGCCCTCAGATGGGTATTTAGCATGCTAGTTGCCTCGTGTTTGCAGGCAGCTGCTGGCCGTTAACCGTTGGTTTGATTTAGACTCTCTCAATGACTCACTTGTTCTCTCAGTATGCAGATGAGTAGAGTTGAGAGCAATACTCTTGTTCTTTTCTCTGTACCTCCTCGCAGTGTAATTTGTCTCGACATATTCAGGGAGGGTGACGGGATGGTAAGGTTAGGAAAATGTCTAATTTGTTCGCCAAGGTAAACAACCACTATTCCCAAAGGTGAGAGCTGAAACCTGCTCTGATGAATCACTGGATCGTATCGCTTACATAAAGAGCACTGCAGTGTTATAGACTTGACTATTGATTTGTTAATTATATCAGTGCTCTTTGTGTCTGCTGCACTGGTATAATCAGGTCTTCAGACTTTTGTTGTTTTTATGATTTGTTTGTTCTTAAACTTATCTTTTCTTCTTTTCCCTTCCTTGCTTTCTCCCTCTTCTACCCTGTCCTATCCTCACCCTTTCCCCCTGTGGCTAACCCTTGCTCCACCCCCTTTTGCCTCCTCTTCTTACTTTCCCTAGTCATTCCCTGGCGGCGGATGTCTCGTCGCCTGCCTCTGAGACTGGAGGCCAGTTGGAGTCGGGAGGTGGGTCCTCAGCAGCAGTGGTGATGCGGGCTTCAGTGGCAGGCTGCAGGATGAGCGTTGGCGCGCTCCTTAACGGGCTGCTGGTCTCTGTAGTCGCAGCTCTGCTTTGGAAGTATTCCAAGCTGAGTGAGCATGCTGCCCTGCTGGAGGAAGAGCTGCACATGACACGACAGTCCCAGGAGCTCTCACAAGCCCGCATCGACTACCATGTTGCTCTGCAGGCTCTTCAGGAACACGGCACACGCATGGTCTGCACCGGCAAGATGCACACCGACCGCATCTGCCGCTTTGACTACCTCTGCTACTGTTCGGAGGCAGAGGAGTTTGTGTTCTTCCACTCCAATTCCTCTGTTATGTTGCCTAACCTGGGGTCTCGGCGTTTCCAACCTGCCCTGCTGGACTTGTCCTCGGTAGAGGATCACAACACTCAGTACTTCAACTTCTTAGAGCTCCCAGCTGCTACTTTAAAGTTTATGCCCAAGCCTGTGTTTGTACCAGATGTGACTCTGATCCTAAACCGGTTTAATCCAGACAACCTAATGCATGTGTTCCACGATGACCTGCTCCCAGCCTTCTATACTATGAAACAGTATTCAGACTTAGATGATGAAGCTCGTTTGGTTTTTATGGAGGGCTGGGGTGAAGGTCCACACTTTGACCTCTACCGACTTCTCAGCAGCAAACAGCCACTACTCAAAGAACAACTTAGGAACTTTGGCAAGCTCATGTGTTTTACGAAATCTTACGTTGGCTTGTCCAAGATGACCACCTGGTACCAGTACGGTTTTGTCCAGCCACAGGGGCCCAAAGCCAACATGTTGGTCTCAGGAAATGAAATCCGGCAGTTTGCCAGGGCTCTGATGGAGAAAATGAACATCACGAGGGTGGAGGAGGTGGAGAAGGATGGAGGGAGTGCCGAAGATGAGAAGGAGAAAGAGAAGAAGGATGAATACATTGTCGTGTTTAGTCGTTCGACAACAAGGCTGATACTGAATGAAGCAGAGCTAATCATGGCGCTGGCCCAGGAGTTCCAGATGAGAGTGGTCACAGTATCTATGGAGGAGCAGTCTTTCCCCAGTATCGTCCAGGTGATAAGCGGTGCCACCATGTTAGTCAGCATGCATGGAGCTCAGCTTATCACCTCACTCTTCCTCCCCAGGGGAGCTGCTGTGGTAGAACTATTCCCCTTTGCTGTGAACCCAGAGCAGTACACCCCATATAAAACCCTTGCCTCCCTTCCAGGCATGGACCTTCACTATGTCTCCTGGAGGAACACTAAGGAGGAGAACACCATCAGCCATCCAGACAGACCCTGGGAACAAGGGGGCATCGCTCACTTGGAGAAGGAGGAACAAGAGCGAATACTGGCGAGCAAAGATGTCCCCAGGCACCTGTGCTGCCGCAACCCAGAGTGGCTCTTCCGGATCTACCAGGACACTTTGGTGGACATCCCTTCTTTCCTTGAGGTCCTCAAAGAGGGCATTAAGACAAAGCCCAGCTTGAAGAAATCAAAGCCAGCCAGCACAGTCCACCCGGGCCGGGTCAGAGAACCCCACTGTCACACCTCAGTACAAACCACTAATGAGGCTAAACTCACAGTCTCCTGGCAGATCCCGTGGAATCTGAAATACCTGAAGGTGAGAGAGGTGAAGTACGAGGTGTGGATCCAGGAGCAGGGAGAGAACACCTACATGCCTTATATCCTTCCCCAGCAGAACTACACTTTCTCAGAGAACATTAAGCCCTTCACCACCTACCTGGTGTGGGTTAGGTGTATCTTCAACAAGAACCTCCTGGGCCCCTTTGCAGATGTTCTTATGTGCCGGACTTAGTACACACACCTTGCCAGTCTGTTGCTGTGCAGTTCTACACAAAAGTTGAGTTGTGCTTGTTCCAGACAATCAAATTGGAAAAGTGGACTGTTTGATCAGAGTCAGAAACGTGATAAGGCATATCTCTACAGTCCTAGAACAGGCTGTTGAACTCACGGAGCACAGAGAATGTGGAACAGACTTCTGGATGAACTGCAAAGGACTTGAAATACAGGGTTTGAACTCAATGGTAACAGGCGTAAATGAATGGAAAGTATATTGAATGAAAGAAAGAAAGTGCTAAACCATGACTGAAAATACCAGAATTTAAATCAGCAGATTTATTTATGTGCAAAATAATATATAACATGTTTTTTAGTAGTAGTCGAAACACTGGTTCTTTACCTTTTACAGTATGCAATATAGCTTTTCTGTGGAGAGCAAGAGAGATTTTAGAATAGCAAGATTTTTTTATGTTTTCTGACTTGTCCAATGTCTACTGTGTGTGTGATACCTGTGTGGCTTAGTTTACCTTCCAACTGTTTGAATGCATATACTGTTATTTGCAGAACCTTGCCAAAACCAAAGCAAACATAATTTCAGCCAGTCATCATTCATGCCATATTACTTTTTCATGTTATAGATCTCTCATAATGTTTGCTATGAGCTATACAGTTTTAAACCCTGTCTTTAATGACATTGCGAAGGATTTGTGCAAAAGAAGTGTCAAGCAAGAGTTTTCATGAATGCCACAGTAATCAATGTTTTTGGCCCCAAAGCAACTGTATGTATAATTTTAGAATACTTTATGGAGCATTTTGTGACGAAAGACAGCACTCTCTTCAAATGTTTTCCTTTACATGATATAAATATAACGACACACAAGTGTTTGCCTCTCTGTGGTCCCCAGCCACAGATAATTTACATCCGTTTTACTGCATAAATAAATGATATTTCTCTAATTGTCACTAATAACAACTGTAATAATTATAATTTTCTGTGGACAGTGTTACGCCAGGCTATGATTAGTGTAAAGCGGTTTCCTTCCTGTAAGCAGCAGTATGCTGCTGGACAGTCAGATTTTACTGCCTTGTCTAAAAGCATTTTCATTAAGATAACAAGCAGCGTAGGATTCCACTGCCTTGTGTTAAACTCTTAATTACAACTAAATTCCCTGCTATGTGTCTTTTTCCTCTCCTCAGAGGTTTTCCAGCTGGTAAAAAGAAGTCTAATGTTGGAGTTTATATCCAAAGCTGGATTTTGAAGTTGTTTTTTTTTGTGTCTTTTGCTAATGAAGTGCTGCTTGTTAGCAGCTAGACTGCAAAAAATGTGTTTATTTTTTAGACTCTTGAGCTGGAGGTGTTAGTATGTGGTAGTAGACATGTAGCAAGAGATGGCTTATGGAATGGCACAAGTTAAACTAAACACTGCCACCAACATATTGTGTTATATTGTGCCATTGTTAAGATGATGTTGTTTTGAACTTTATATCTAGGACCAGTCCTCTAAACATTACATTACCCTCTTTGTAATGTTTTGCCCTCTGGATGCAATGAAGCTCTTTTTCCTTTAACTGAGATCTTACATTGATTTTTTGCCATGTATCAGTTTTTCCCTTCACTGATGTTTCCCCCCGTTCTCAGATGCAGTTCTGTTTGATGCACGTTTAAGAGATTATTTGAAGCCATTGTCGTGTGTGCAGGATGTGATGGTTTAGATGTGTTTGTATTGTTGGTTAGATTTCTGTGTGCCCCTGCCCCCCCTCAGTGGAGACATCATACTGTATGTGCCGAGTGAAATGAGAGTGTACCCGTCTCTGTTTTCTACATTAGCAAATAGTTGGAGTTTCTTTTTCAGTAACTGTGATTGAATAAAGAAGCTTATTTCTTACAGTATCTGTTTTGTTCAGCTGTTTTTTTTAAATCAGTAATAAAATGATAACAATGCTCAACTCAAGATCATCTATTAAGGTGCTGAGGAATAAAAGAAAAAAGACAAAAAGGGAAAGGGCTAAATCAGAAACACGATTCAATAAATATGTGGTTCTCATTGCCTTTTATCTTGCCACCCAATGTTTCTGTTGGAAGAAAGAAAATGTGCCGTATCATTTTCTTGTAATAGGGTTTTTCGAGGATCCAATTCAATTTGGTAGTTTGAATGACTTGCTAAGAAAAGTCAGATTAATGTGAGTCTAAAGTTCTCTCTTGAGGTGGCTGTCCAAATAAAAACTGCCCAGGAGCTTAACAAATATAAACTTTTTAGGGCCCGAGCACAAATCGTGCAAAGGCCCTATTGTATCTCTAGTTATTATTATGATCAGATCTAGCTGAAATTTAGTCAGGAAATGCAAAACATGTTGTTGATGATATTTCATGATTGTGGTGACGGTTTGTTAAAGGGCGTGTCCGTTGCGTGGCGTCAAAGTTTGATGTACCGCCAGAGCACACAAAGTTGCTCTAACTTGAGTGTACATTGTCCAATCGGCTCCAAACTTTACTTGCCTGATAAGAGTCCCACCCTGAACACCTCTATATGATAATATGCACTGATAGTGAGAGCGCCACCGTTCTTGCTGACTTAATATTTAAAATGAGCTGGTTAGCTTAGCATAGCATGAAAATCAGATACAGGGGTCAGCAGCTAGCCTGGCCTTTAGCACCTCTAAAGCTTACTATACTATTATGTCTTGTTTGTTTAAAGTGCAAGAATGGTTACGTAAAAAAGGTAACTGTAATCCATTAACCGACTTCTCCAAAGATATTCGACCATCCAACAAGCAGTTCTGGCAATTTAAATCACTGCAACCAACCAGGAAGTAGCTCAACACATCTTTTTGCAGCCAGTGGAGACCTATCTTAAGAACTATTACAGATCCATGCTTATGGTGCATGTTTACACATTGTTTTATCAAATGATATTTGGGTCCAGGTAGTACTGCAGCATAGAAAAACTAAACAAACTGAAAGGAACGGGGACCCAGCAACTCATTCTTGCCCTGGGCCTCCCTAAATGGTTAATCCAGCCATGATCCTATATGGTATTTCATATGCCTCACAGGTCAAAGGAGCTTGGAAGAGGATTTCTGCTCTCAGGAATAACTGCTACACCTTTGAAGAGTTGGGTGACTCAGGAAAATGTTACCCTAAAAAAAGGAAAGGGTGAAAGTTATTAAAGATGAAGTGAAAGTCATCATACAGTTAATTTTTGCAGGATTTGAAAGCACTTATAAGACGTGTATGTTTGGCCGGCTAAAAGAATCCTTGAAACAGAGTGGAGAAATCTCAGTGAACGTAGAATTCAGAATGCGAGATTGCAGCGTGCTTTAATATTAGAGTTGATGATAACAGCTTACCAGCCCAAGGCCAGTGTTTACCATGATATGACATCAAGCTTTAATAACTAAACTGAAGAAAATGAAAGCCTCAATATAACACCTTAATGCTAAACTGCAGATTAACAGCCAACTGGGTGCTGTCCATAATCAACAGGGAAATGATCTTTGATTCGTGCCTGCCCACACTGAATGAGATGTAGGAGCCGCTCCCGGTGGCATTTTCAGGTCAGAGTAAAGCAAAAGAGTCGGCCACTCCTACGCTAAGAAACACTTTTAATGACCATCATCATTTAATATAATTTAATAACTAATTTTGCTTAACCGCCTATTCTTGTGCAGGGTCACTGTGGGCCGAAGCCAATCCCATTCCAATCCAACTCACTTGTATATAATTACAAGTGGGTGGAAATGCAGAGGGATTACATGCAAACAGTGAGCCAGGAATCCAAACAAGGTTCTTTGTGCTGTTTTGTTATATTCTACTTTAGTAAAACTCTTACTTTTATAGTTTTATCCATTATTTCTATCAGATATTTTACACTACGCTACAACCAAGTCTGACTGGACAAAAACATAAAGAATCTGACAATCACATGGGTTGCAAGTTTACCCAGATTATCTAAAGCACTTTATTTAAAGTTAAAACTGAACGTGAGTACATCTGAAATACTGCCTCACTCTGCGCAGGAAAACCATATGTGTGCCCGACTACAGTAAGTACAGTAGGTCAAGATTTAACAGTACAATCGGTCTGTAGACTGACTTTGCTTCAGCCATGTTGCTGCATTCCCAGATCTCAGCTATTAACTTGGAACGTGATCAATTGATCAATATTTGAAATAAAATTCTAATTACTAATAATCTGACACTCAACCAGCAACCATATTCCACTCCTTTCTTCACTGTTCCCCTTTCATTGACTCTCCAGATACTCATTCTCATTATCAGTCATCTAATTCCTTTTATGTGAATTCAAACAGTTATTTTTGTCCTGTACATCTTTCATGATAGTGTCGACCCTTTGGTAAGAGGAGTCTATAAACAGTTGAACAAAGTACTTTCATGTTGTTCAGTCCAGTCTTTGCAAAATGACTTCTGCTGAACAAGCAGCTCAGACAGTGAAGTGTACTTTTTCCCCATGAAATAGAGAAACAATTTCAGGAAACTGCAGAAGAGCTAAGCTTCTTTTCCAAGAAATTGGAAATTAGCAGCAGCAATAACGTACAGGCTGATGCAGTTGTGAATGCTGGTGCAGGTACTGTAGACAAAGGCAGAGAAGAAGAATCCACCGTACATACAGAACTTTACACAGTATGATAGTAGATTGATCAGTTAACTGTCAGAGTCATGTAGTTAGTTTCGGAGTTTGCAGAATACCCAACATATATAATTATTTTTAACTCAGGAGGCTTGTTGAAGCACACAGCCATCTTGATTTTCCCATGAACTTGACTGAGCATTGTGCTGAGTTCACATGCTCTTCGGATGATCCTATTTCCCGAGTTGGGAAGTTGTTCTTTCATCTTTGGCGTGTTAATTAGCTTCCAGGCATAATGTAATAAACTGGAAAAGGAGGTTGTGCTTTAAGAATGGGATTCTCAGTGGCGAGGTAAACCCAAAATCCAGTGTTCCAAAAAATATGAAGAGGTAGATTCCCTGTTACCATTAATATATTACTTTACCTGACTTGTTATCGGGTTAATTCTAATAAGGGTCACTCTATGTGGACAGCAACTAACATTTACAACCTAATACCATATTACAAATTATATGTAATTACAAGATTGGTATATAATATGTGAATTAATAAAGTTTTTTCCCATCAACTCAACACTGACTTTCGTCTGCCATGTTTCTGTCTAATATGACGCCCGCTCTGCAAGTCATGTACCAAAGTTTTGCCAACTTTCAAAAATGTTGTTCTGACTTGAGGCGTTGTTCATCAGAACTTTCCCAATTGGGAACTCATTTCTTACAACTATTATTCATTCATTCATTAGTATTCATTACCACACGTATGCAGCATTCCTCCAAATGCATGTCCCCCTTATCACACAGACTGACAAGCCCTGCACTCAGTTCATTAATGTGTAGGGCAGCACAAAGGTATTTAGGTGCTCCTTTTATGTATGATCAAATAGTAATATTCACATTTGTCTCAAATATTGGTCATTTTGCTCACTGTTTATCAACATAATATTTTATAGATTTCCCAATAAAAGATCCCTTCTAGATCTGCTATTTATGTGTTTTCCCAAGGTGTTCCATTCACTATTTGACCAAATGCAAAACGGAGTGCCTACTGCCATCAGACCGTAAAAACTACAGACTATGCCAATCACTTTGACCAGCCAGTCTTGGAACCCTTTTTTTTTTATAGCCAGTGTTCCAGAGAATCAGTGCCAAGGTGCATTGAAGCTGTTCTGGCAGCACCTGATGGCCCAACACCTTACAGGACACTTTTTAAAAATGTTTTTATCACAATTTATCCTTTAATTTATATATATACTATATTATATAATGTTAATATTTAATGCTGTTTCATTACATTATATGCTATATTATATTTCTATATTAATACAGACACATTAAGTATCATTACCATGTCATTTTAAGTTCAGTTTGCTCTTGTCGTTTCTATTTTTATTTCCCCACTAGAGATCAATAAAGGCTTACCTCACCCTACCTCACCTCATGTTCATAGTACTTCAATTGAAGAATGTACCCAGTGTCTATGTATATATGGAACTGTTGTGATGAAGGTTATTAAGAGTGGAATGTATTAAATAAATAAACCCCTCTTTTATAGCCCATTATGTGTATAGAGCATAAGAGCACATTGCTCAGAAAACACTTAAATTCCAGTTGAAGAAGCGGACAGCAGCACAGTGAGCGGGTCTCCAGGACGACGGGCCGATTTGCGCAGTCAGACCTGAGAGTCAGCTCAGCCTAGCTCCCCTCTTCAGTTCCCATAGTGCTCTCTGCTCCCAGGGCTATTTTCTGCCAGCTTAACCGCAGAGACAAGATGCCGCCTGACAGGTGCAGATGGGCAGCGCTCGGCTAAGTGACAGTGGCCTTCCCCGTAACTGGAGAGGAGGGAGCCCACAGCAGCACTGAGAGATGGACTGTTGTGTAATGGACTGTGTGTGTGTAATATGTGGCATGAAACAGCTGCATATTGCACATGGTGGGTAAGGAGTTAAATTGACCTCGTCTGATTGACATTAAACATGGCGAGCATCTTAGCTCCTTAGATGAATTGTAGAACTGTTTTTCTTGAGCCTCGGGAAAAGAAAACGTTCCTAATTTCTTTCGCAGGAGTTGAATATTTGAATAACTCCCCAGAGTACATTTATCATCATTAGGGATAGAATTACATGAAATCACCTTCCAAGTATGTTTTTTTCCCTCCTCCACCCTCCATCAGTGTTTTATTAGCTTCGGTGTTAACACAGAGTGGAGAAACAGGAGGAGCTGTGACAGGCCCTTTTGTATTTTTTACACATTTTTCTACATTATGCTACATGGAAACAGGCACAAACAGACAATTACAGACATTTTTTGCAAAAGGTTCAGACATTGTGAGGAACAGCTACATGTCTTCAAAGGGACTGTATTTTAATGTAAAACTTTTGTGTCTAATTCACAATGGCACATTTAATACAAAGGGGTCATGGTAAGATTTCTTTGCATCAGTCTTTGGTGTTTCATTCTTTGGATCTCTTTACATGTTCTGAGTAAAATGGTTCAGTCACCTCTGCTGATTTACATTTGAGAAGGCAAAGAAAAAATTCAGCTCACTTTGGTCCAAGGATAACGCAGCCTAGCTGTGCGCCAGCAGTACAAAACTAAATCACTTTTTATCTGGCATTTATGGAGCACGAGCGGATTCTAGACAGCTTTCCAGTCAGATTACATCAGACACCTGACCCTGCAGGCGTCCTGCGGGCTGATGAAGATAGAGTAAGAAAGAAACAAACACAAGAAAAAACTATGTTTGGAATATGAAAGCAAAACATGGGAACATGTGACACATGTTTGGTTCCACTGTTTGTGTCTTTTCATTTGAAAGTCATGATAATGGAAGACTGCCACTTTTCCTTGTTATGTAGCAGGATGACTGTTACAGTACCAAAGATTTCAAGGCACACTAAAGACACTTTCAGACACAATCTGAGCTGCACTTTCTGCACAACTGTGCCACATGATGTGCTGTGCACCCGCTTTGCTCGATGTAGCAAAAAGCCATCGTGGTGCGGCGCAAGCCATTGGAAATAATGGAGTTCAGAGCACATGTTGTCATGTTGTGTCTGAAGGGGACTTAAAGTTATTGTTTGGGTATTTTGAAGTGTGATTGTATGAGGTATTTTTCCAGTCACTACATTGCCTGCAGTATATCATACACACACTAACAGATATTGATTTTTTTAGGTGGGTCTTTTTTATATGGCTAAAATGTGTTTTTCTGCAGCCCCCTTCCACAGCAGTGCTCTGCTTCTCTGCCACGACTCATATCTGCTTTTCCAAACTGTGGGAGCACTGACCTCTGTCTAATTCAGGTAATACACTGACTTCATAAGTACCTTATACAAACACACTTCAAGGAGCCTGAACTATCACTTTTAAAATATATATATATTATATATTGGGGGGGCAGTTGCATTTATTGGACAGGATAGCTCAATATAGGGGGTGAGAGAGAGTGGATAACATACAGAAAAGGGCCACAGGTTGGCACAAGAAGGGCATTGACTTCTGCAGGGGTGGCATTAGTATGTTTCTTAGCTTTCCAGTCATTCCAAAGTTATGCCAACACTGTTTATGGACCCCAGTCTGCGGAAATATTCAAATACACTACGCCAAAAGCACGCTTTTCATTCAGATATCCTGAAGTCAGAAGTCAAGGGATCCCTTAGAAAATGGCCATGGCCAGTTTTTCCATCACAAAATTTAGTCTAACTTTGGAGCATTATTCAGGACATGCTAATATGACATGGCTGATACCAATGAATGTGATAGGTCATCTAGTTTCATGTGATAGCAGTATCTTCACTCTAACTTTAAAAGGGAGCCCACTGCAGCCTCTGAAAGACAGTCTGAGTGGAAGAGAGAAGGACACGCCCCTGCGTACACTGTATTTGTCCCGTGCAATTGTTGCGCTAAAGTGAATCTGCATCTGTTCCCACTTGCGTCTTTGCCATGAATATCCACAGTAATGTGACCATTTGCAGTTTAAGGGGGAGTTACATACTTTAAATATTTGTAATTTATCTATCTTTGTGCTAAGCTGGGCTAACGGCCCCTCAGAGTGGTATAAAATATTTCCCAAAATGTTTAATATTCCTCATAAACCAACTTAAACAGCACTCTGCTACTGTTCTGCAGTGTGTTGCCCTTGAGTGTCTTCTTGTCGAAACTCTTGTCTGCGGCCTTTATTCTGTACCTGCGTTGACTCTTCGCCTTTTTTGAGGCCGACATTGTAAATGATCTGTCCCTGTTCAAACACCAGCTCAAACATTTCAGGGGCAGTTAAATCCAGCCTGGCCAAAAGGGGGGGGGTATCTGTGCCTTCCTCATCTCACAGAGAGCCATATGCCACCTACTCCAAATGAATGAAACTTCTATGCTACACACTCGCAATTATATCTTTTTTTTTTTTTTACAATTTAATGCCAAACCGCTGTTTAACCTTTCCTTCCTCTGGGCTCTGTTTCCTAAGACTTTCCTACACCACACAGCCCAAGTTGAGATGCAAACATCCTCTCTGCCACGAGCTCAAATAACACACCAGAGGTCAAATTCAGGTTAGTAACGGCAAAAAGGATCCAACGTTAACAGAATTCACAGTACGTCTTTATCCCTGAGATCAAGATCCAACTGTGCCGTCTGTCCTTTCACTAACAGCAGAGCGGCTCTTGAATTTACCTCCTGATGACACTGCTGATAATCTTGCCTCTCTCTTTTCTTCCTCACCTCTGCTTGGTTTGTTCACATCATTGGCACAAATGTACACATCAGTACAAATCAAGCTTGAACCCTTTTAAGCTGGCAGCAATGACCTACTGTATGTGAACTGAGTTCTCTGGTGAATTTCTCCAGGTTATCTTTGTATTCAGACAATGCCGCTGTACCCCCCGTCACGATCCACCAAAAGAGAGCTTGAACTCACTAATGGGTTTCTGGCTTTTCACAGAAACAACGTGCTGCTGTGAGGAAGGGTGTAAGGTTAATCTGTATGTGTTTGAAGTCGGGGTTGTGCCTCATTGACTCTCTCTCTTTCTTCTCTCATCACTCTCTTCATCTCTTCTTTGCTCCCTCTCTCCCCATCTCTTTTGCTCACACACACACATAGGAGTGCTTTGAACTGTGACTAAAGCTTTCTGGTGTCTCACTCTGTATTTTTTTGCTTTGCCCCTCTTTGATCTGTGTTAAAAGGTTAAGGTGACTTTAGGGGATTGGGCAGGGCAGGGAGTGTGTAAAGTTCATGTTAGAGAGTTTCTGTGGGCGCCACTGGCTGTAAGTTTTCGCCTCATTAGCATAGATCATGAACACTTTCATTAGTGCATGACTATTTTTAAATGTATCACCTGAAGAAGGCTTACACCAGTATTTCTCACATTAAAGCTGCCTAACAGCTATTCTACAAGACCATAATAGTCTTACGTCTCAGACTTACATATTTTCACGTAAGAAATCTTATACTTGTTTTGTGACTTTCTTCACATGCAAAATTGTCTTTTAAAGTGGCAAACATCATATGTAATACAATACATCTCAAAAGCTCAACATTTAAAGACTATTTCAAATGCTTTCATTGCTATTCTTCTGCAGAAATAAACACATGTACATTTTATTCAGAAAATGTATCCAGACATTTTTTTCCTCTCTCCACCACCAGCAGAGAAACTTCACTGAGAGAGATATGTCAGCAGATTTATCAGGTGAGCACTTCCCCCCTTCAGATAAGCCCCAACTCCACGAAGGCTCAACAGGAAGCTGCGACACCCCGGTGCTTAGAGCAAGCTGCAACACCAGAGCCGCTGCGCTTATGTCACAAGAAACACAATGAATGTTTTCTGATTGGCTCATCTCACTCTTTTTGAGACTTCAGCCTTGGTGCAAACAGATGGAGACAGTTTGTCATTAGCATCATTTCCCCACCAATCAGTCCCACACAAACTCCACAGCTCTACATAGGAGAATTAGAGAACACACAGATCCCATTGCTCATTACTACTGTGGCAGTGCATACCTGTGTGTGTGTGTGTGTGTGTGTGAGAGAGAGAGTTATTATGGCGATACACTGCTCATCATTGTTATAGCAATGCACCTGAGGGACGATCTGTGTGTTCAGTCTGGTTAATGAGACAGCTTCCAACAAGCCTCTTGAATAGGATGGATGGCTGCGGAGAACGCCGCTCTACTCCTCTCCACCTTCTCCTCCACTATTTTCCCCCCGCTGCTCTGCCTCTCTGACTACATGGTTCTTACAGTTTCTTCTGACATCATTTACTCACCACTTTTCTGTCACGTCATTCTCTTCTTTTCTCTGCTCTTTTCCTCCCCATCCACCCATTCTGAGCAATCTCCATCCAGCTCTACATTTTACCCTCTGAGCCAGGGGAGCCAGTGCAGAGACATCAGCATAAATAAGGTATGAGGTGGTGTACCATTACCACATGCACAAACACACACACACACACACACACACACACACACACACACACACACACACACACACACACACACCATTGACATCCCCACTCTCTTCCATCAGAAGGAGGGGAGCACAGGGCAAGGGTTCCCTGGGGAGGATGTTCATGTTTTCCTTGAAGGAGGGAGACCTCAAAAAGCCCAGGAACACAATGAAGAGGACGGGGGAATTAATTCAGCCGGGTGGGGCGAGCTATAAACCCCCTTTTGAATATATCATGCTGATGGTTAATGAATCTTTCAACCCTGGCTAAAAATGAGGAAATGATAAATAATAATACAGAAATTATTCCAAGTAATGAGTGCTGAAAAATTGATAAGACAATTAGTGGTCTGAGTGGTGAATTTAAAATAAATATAGGATTTACAACAGCTTAGCCCGGCTGTCAGGCAGCCATGAATATTTCACCTTATTGAAAGCACCTCCGGATGAGTGTGACCTGCTCTGCTTGAATATTTTACTATATGGAATACAACCTCCCTCAGTTGTAATTCTCTGAATATTTCACAAGACTGAATACGTCCCTGAAACATTATGATGTGCTTGTACCAAATGTGGTAAATATTTCACTTTTCTCAGTGGACTCGCAGAAGGAAATAAAAAGGAGAGAAATCACACTGCTGATTACACCCCTGGGTGGCCAGAGTGTTATTACCTCAGCTTATTCAATGCATAAAATCACTTGGTTGACTGCAAAATAAATGTCAGAAATCATGTGAGAAGGGGAATGCTGCTGTGGCTTTTAAAGCAACTTTAGAGGACTCCTTTCCATGGATTCCTCCACAAACGCTGCAGTAGTGCCCTCTTGGATGCCCCTATAGTAGATAAAACATGATAAGTGCCCTCTAACCTTGGGGTTGGGACCCACACTAGGGGACGCCAAAGCTTAACAGTACTATCTGTTTCACTACTGAAACAACTACTACTAACGTTACTGCTGTTACTATCACTAATAATACCACCTGTGTAATGGATGCTAATGCTTTTTCTGCTAATGCTATAGAGAGGCGAGGTCCCTCCCCTTCCGTGTCTCCCATTGGACCTTGTTCTGTACAGTAGTCAGTGGTGAGAGACAAATAATTTTTTGATCCCATTTGAATTGTGCCCTGAATTAAAGCAGTGGTTCCCAACCTGGGGGCTGGGACACACACTAGGGAACGCCAAAGCTTCACAGGGATTGGCGAGGCCTTCTGGACTGAAATAGACACTTATATAAATAGGGTTATTCTTAGGGTTAAAATAGGCCTATATGTCAGTATTTGGTTTACTTCTGTGAAGAATAGTAAATAGTCCAATAGACGTAAGCCAAGTGTTAGAGACAAGGAAACATTCAACAGAAAAGGAGCCTATTAAGTCTGTATGATTGTTAAAAATGAGTCCTATAAGGAAAAAAGGTTGGGAACCACTGCTCTAAGGTGCCCTTAAGACATGATAAAGTGCCAAGAACCTTTAGTGGACATACTATGACAGGCGCCATTGTTCCCATTGATTAACATTAGCTTACACTGCAGCCATTGCATCAATATTTTCTCATCTAACTCTGTGAATTAGGGATTTATTTTGACCAAACCAGAGTTGGTGATTATTGGAAAGACTAACAAAGATGATTTTGGCGAATTTTCTTTTCTGTCCCACTGTTTTGTTCTGAGATGCTAGTGCTCTCGTGCAACACCCAGTGAATGTCATATATATAGAAGTCAGTGCCATCAAATGTCTTGAACTGTCTCATAGTGGCAAAAGAAACTTCTGTGTATTTTGTTTCTCACAAACTATCATCACACAAACACCAGTTTTTAGCTGTGGTTAACTGTGGTTTTATAGTAGTTTTGGTATTGTCCTTTTCTGAGAGTGTCCTTTCAAACCAGTCTTCTTGTGTTTCTGTAAGACACCAAATAAACTGTAGTAAATGTTCTCTCTCTCATGTATAATCATTCCTGATATGATTGGTGCCCCTGCTTGGAGAAACAGCATGGGGAATCTCTCGAGGTGAAACCGGCTCCCAGCTGAGCTGACAGCTGACGTGAGTGACTGGCTGACTGAAGCAGAACAAGATGACTCTCAGGGAGTATTCCTAGACATATTCAGACGTCCTTCCTCAAAACTTCACCAACCTCACATGTTTTCGAAATCTAAAGAGCTGAAGATCAGAAGTAAATATGACTTTTGGTTTTCTTTCATATAGACTTGTTTTTGAGGTTTTGACAAAAGGATTGTCACACTCTCTTACACTGTTGAGGCAAAAGTATAAGATAGAAATGAAGGTTATATAGGTGGAAGGCTGAATGGAGCTTAGCTCAGCAGCTGCTGACAGTTGTCTTTTCCAGTAAATCTCACCTAAAATGACCCTGTGAGGACATGTTGTGACATTAGAGCAATAAATGCAACTGTCATGTGCCTCTTTTCCTTTACTCTGAGCTCCAGCCTCCACTGTCGGTCATCAGAAGCCTCTGGGGTTGGGTTTTTTGTCCGACCTCAGGCTCCATTATGGTTCTAAAAAGAAATTTGTCTTGATCCAAAAACTCCTCAAGGACATCCCAAGCTATTTTGGGTGAAAGTTGCTGAGTGTTATTGCTGAAGCCACACTATTTGTCTGTGTGTCTGTCATGTGTTCCAATTCCAATGAGCAGTAAATCTCATATTTCATATTACAGGAAACAATGTAAATGTTAGTTACCTAATATATTTTCATGTGGATCCACTTTAAATGTTTGCACCCTGCAGTCAGATGTAGAGGACGCAGCAGGAAGGAGCATAAAACTGCTTCAAAACAAGATTTTCACTTTGAGTTGTGACTTATTTACAGTGCTAGTAAAAATATTCAGCCCCATTTATTGTGATCTAAATAACAAATACAAAAATGGTGATTATATCCCTGGCTGCAGCTACAGGCACTGAGGGATTCAGCTAACACACTTATGTTATTGTCTAGGCTTCGTGGTATAAGATTTGAAACCAACTATAAAAGACTCACACACCACCCAACTGCTCAGCTTGGCTGTAATTGCACCCCAATTCTGCTAGCTCGCTTCCTCTCAGCAAATTAAAACAATCTAGCAGATACCTGCAAAGACTGCCACAGCAGGGGTGTGGCCTCAACTCTGACTGGAGTGATTGACAGACTGTCCACAGCAGCGTAGCAGGAACAGCGAGCTGGTGCTCAGCGCTAACCAGGATGTGAACTACAGGGGAGCCAGGGGCAGCTTGGCTCCTCTTAACCTTTTAAGCCCCAGCCATATTTTCAGAAAAAAACACCTAAAAAGACACACCCAAAGTAAAAAAAAGTTGATGACAATTGCTTTGTTATTTGATGGAATATTGAGACATAAACACAGAATTTCACATTTTGACGATAAAATGCTAAATTTTGCTGCGTCTTTGCTACGGGGCTGACACGAGCTGTTTAGGTCGGATTATGTTTTGCTTGGTACCAGCAGAAAGATGAGCTTCTCTAGTTTAATTTGACACCTAACATGACTGAGTCGAGTGAGCAGATATATGTGTACTGCTGCGTTTCATTTCGACTGTCCCTTATATTCACAGAGTTGTTATTTTTTAAGTTAATTGTTTAAATTATTGCAAAACAAACTGTGTTTGAGAAAAATACACTTGGACTGTTGTTTTGGTAGAGTTGAAGCCTCGTCTTTTGGAAACCACCACAGCGTTTTATTAACTTTTTACAGGCAGTAAAGCATTGTAGCGCTGTGCGGGTCTGTCGGGTCTAACAGGTTAATAAGACATGAGCTTCCCTGAAAACATGATTTGTGAAATTTTGGGGGGTCTCTTAAATAGTGCTATTTTTTGCCATGCATTTGAAAAGCTCTCAACTTTAGGAAGCAGATGTGATTGTCAGAATGCATGTGTTACAGCCCTGGCTGTATTGTTATTTGGTATTGTTTTCGTCTGTGGTGTGTTTGGTATTTTTGTCCCTGTTTTTCTGCAGGAGTGTGTCACCTGTCTTGCAAGATCTTTGACAGCAACCCGTAGGTCCCCTCTGACTGGTCAATGACGTGGGCTCGGCTGGTGGAGTGTTGCCTGCTGGTTGGTTCTCCCGGGGACAGCCGCAACACCCGCCGGGGTTCAAAACGTCTAGCCACACAGAAGAAGTTGGACAGAACACTAAGCAGCAGCATCCTTCTGTCCTCGGTCGTATAGAGAGTGTTTTTGAAATAGCGTGGTGGTTGGTGAGTTTTTGAGTTAGTATTAGATTGTGTTTTCGTATGGTTGTATTTAGTGAGTAATGTAGGGGTGAGCTGCCATTTTCTTTTGTACTGCTTTTCTCCTGTTTTTCATTAGGTTAGGGAGTTAGGTTTAGTAACTGTCTTTTGCTTTATATTAAATAGGGATTAGTCAGGTTTTTCGTTCGAGAAAGTTAGCTCTGTTTTGTTTGTTGTTTTGGCCTTGGTTCACCCTGAAGTTTGTTGTTGGTTTTGTTGCACTTTGTTCACATGTTTGTAAATAAATCACTTCACTTGATTGTTAACTCTGTGTTAGTTGTTTGTTTGGGAATCAGGGTAGGATTATTGGTTTATTTTCTTCTTACATTTATGTTGTGCTCCTTCCCCCTAGACAGGGGCGTAACAGCATGTTAGTATTAAAAGACAATATTTTTAAATGGAGTCCGGTCAATAGAAGTGCACAGATGTAAAAAAATAAAGCTGATGTAGCTGATGACTCAGAGAGGCTCTAAGTTGTAGCAGATGTCTTACATTTCTATCTTTCTGTATTTTTACCATCATGGGCCATGTGTAAACTTAGGCTATTATTGATGTATGATTCATGCATGAGGGTGATTCATCACTAATTCACTAAAGATACCGGCATGCATGCTATTTTGCATGCTATACAGTTGAAGCATTGTGGCACAATATCATAAAACTCACTCACTTTAACTCAGATATCAGAACACTCACTCACTCTACTAAACAGATATGAATAATGGCAATTTGGTGTGCAGTCAGCAAACTATGAGTGAGTTCCCCTGAAAGCTGTGGCATAGTTCCCACACTGGAGCTAACCAGTCATGAGCAGCTACTGTCAGACTCTCCGTGTCTGTCCAGGAAACATACAGAGTCCGCTGGAACCTTTACAGTCACTAGAAGCACATTCAGGGCCCTTTGTAAACGTTTCTGTGTGGTACCTGTGTTGTAGCTGAGCTTGCAGCTGTGTAATCCTTCTCCACTGGAAGATTCCTCATCCACTGAGCATGAGGCGGTGATGCAACATCTTGGGTTATTTTAATTACTTAAATTTACAATTAATTGCAATACTAGTTTCAGTATCATTTATATTCCTGGCTGAAGCTGATATGGCTTTGCTGATTCACACTGACAGCTGCTGGATGAAAACATCATGGGTAAGTTGTTTCATACTCGTTATTTGTGATGACAGAGGCGTGTCATAGAGGCTGTTGTTGTTTGTTGCTGTTTGTACTGTAGACTGCAGTGGCTGGTCATGCTTGGTCATTGTTCTTCAAGTTTAAATCTTAAATAATAATCTAAATGTATCTAAATTGAAACAATTTCATTTAATTTTCTTCACAGAAATGAACGAAACATTGAGATATAGGCCTACTGTGTATATTTTTTAAAAGTTTTTCTTACAACTCTTAAAATTAAGAAGGCCTCCCCCCTGTAAAGCTTTGGCAACCCCTGTTGGAAACCACTGGTCCAGGGTGCTTATTGTAATTTGCATTTCTCTCTGTCCTTCCCTTCTGTCTCAGCACACTGCCAGGAGCCTATTCTAAAAACATATATCAGATCTGTATGGCCACCGTGCCCACTGATGGCTGCTGCTGCCACTGTTGTTACTGTTTATTTGAGAAAAATGGTCATTAATATTCACATGTTGCTAATGTCGACTGTGTGTGTATATGTGTGTGATGTGTATATTACTTGTAGCTGGTTTTGTGTGGTAGGAGGACTGGCTGTCATGCACCCATATCCTGCTGACCGCACACACAGCTTGTGTGATAATGTGATGTAAGGAGGAGGATTTGCATTTTGCTTAAGAAACAAGCTGCTTGTTTCTCTCACTCTCACTCCCTCCGTGCTGTTTGCTCGTGGCTTTGGTTGGAGTATTAAAGTTTGTTTTAGAGCTGGGACTGTTCTCTGGTGTCACAAAGAACTCCTGAAGAAATAACTTATAATGAGCATTATCATTAGACAGCAAGTCAACGGCATGTTATAAATAATAACAAACGGGTAGAGACAGGATGAAAAAGAAGCGTTCGTACAGGAATATTTAAGGATTTCTTTTAGTAGTACTGTGGATTTACACACTTTTTAAATGACTTCTGACCATGTGCTGCTGTGCATATGTTTCCATGGTTACCGAATGATTTGCATAAATATATACATCACTGATTAGATTTAATAGTGCTTTAGCTTTTAAAGTCATGCCAAGATCACAGATTTACTCTCATAAAACCCTGTAGTTGGTCTATTCGCTTTCATACCACAAACTGTCTGCACTAGAGTCCAATATGAAGCGGTTGTTTGGTCTGCACCAGAGTTCGATTGACAGATTGCACACACAAGATTTCTTTTGAACCAAACTAATCAGGTTATGTGTGAAACCACTCTTTGAAAACCCACATGAAGGACTTTCTGGAAGAAATGGTCTGATGAGATAAAAACTGAGCTTTTTGTTGATCGACCGTCATGAACATCCCCAGCATGGTGGTGGCAGCATCATGCTGCAGGGATTCTTCTCTGCAGCTGGCCCTGGAAGCCCTGTGACAGTAGAAGGAAGACATGGCAGCCCTCTCCCAGTTTCAAAAAGAAAATTGGGGGACAGTGCAGTGTCCATATGTGCAAAGCTCGTAAGGACCAGTCCACGCCATTGATAGTATATAATTAGTGGACTGAGCTTCCGGTTTGTCACGACCTCTGACACAATACTGGTGGACTCATATGCACGATTCTGGGACGGGCGAAGATGTAGCAAAAATGATATTTATTTACAGATATGGATCCAGATTCTGTTACTGTGTACTTTTTCTCTCCTAAAATGTTTCACAAACATATTTTAGTGTACCGTTTAGCTGTAATACGAGATTGTGTGTGACCAGGTGAGCTGCCATTGTTTCCTGCTATAGACGAGAAGAAACTGTGCAGCCAATGAGAGCAGCTCAACTTGCAGTACATCACCTCTGCTGGCTTGGACAAACTGTCATGGCGACTGCCATAATGTCTAACTCGAGGCTAAAAACAGCAGTCCACAAACCACTGGATGACGTCATTATAAGTTCACACTAGGTCCATGCACACTCATATTTGTGAGCATCTCCTCTACACTGAGGAGATGCTCACCAATATGTGTAATCAGTTGCAATCACTTTGTAGAGATCTGTTTTCACTTTGACGTTTTCTGTTTATCAGTGTCAAAAAAGCCATAATAAATTTACTTTGCTTCAGTGCTGTAAGATAATGAAACCTGAACACTTCCAGCTGATGACTACATTCATTAAGGCTGAATCATCCACTGTCCGCAGTCCCAAGTGCATGAAAGCAGCAATGTAGCTGTTGCTCTATAAGCTGCTATATGGGCAAGGGCACTGATATGGATTGCTGTCCTTGTACTGTGTATTACTATTAATACATCTTAGTGTAAATTTAAAGATATTAATGGAAGTACAAGCAAACAAGGTTACAGAATCTCTCTTTTTCACAAACACACACAATCAGGGACACATTGGGAAAGAAAGCAGAGATATCTGGGTGGAAACAGATGTTAGACAGATGCCGCACTCTAAGCTGTGGCTTCTTCAACCTAAAATGTTATACATGTAAATATTATTATTATATAATCAGGTAAATATACATCAATACTTTTAAACCTGCTAAATCCCATGAGAGTATAACACAAATGAATGTAGCATGGGAACAGAGGAAAGAATACAATGCTTGCTGACCACTGGCAATAGTTCACTGCAATGATGGCAGAATTGGAATAATAACCTGCTGCCTAGGCTGTGTTTAGCCGCTTAAAGGAAACAGTGAAGTCAGCGGCTGACAGGCTGCCATGCTAGAGACACAGGATCAGTGCAGGAGTAAGGAGCATCAGCTGTGCCAGCCTGGTTGGCAGCTCTTCAAGCAACAATAGCCAGGAGTCCGAGACCAAGCCAGGGCAGTTTCATGTCACTCTGCAGCCTGCTTTCCAGGGAGGAGACAGGCCCTATTTTTTATTATTCATACCACTCAGGACAGTGATCTCTTTCCCTTAAAGTATCCTATAACAGGCACAAATGACACACTACAGCTTGTAGTTAGTGGCTGCCTTACCAAGAAACCAAAAGGTTGTGATTGCTTTGGCATGTTTTGTTAACAGCATTGGTTTAGATGAGGGACAGGGACACATAAATCCACATTTGACATTGATGAGGAAATGCTCCTATCATCTGTAGAGATATTCTAAGACATACGTCAAGCCATGGACTTAAGACAGGCAATGAATCTTAAACTGTCATAACGGCAGGCTGTTAGTCAAGCGCATTCTGCAGCTAAATAGGCTATACAATACTTTTGTACAATATTACCCTATGGAACTACGCAGACTGCAGTATTGCTGTCATACACATACAGTCTAAGATTGCCCTGCTCAATATGTATTTCTAACACACATTAAAACTGTGATATCACATTATTTTTCAGGGCTGACAGGAGCAGTTTTGTTGTCCAGAAGGTTAATGTGACAGTGCCTTTAGTGTGACCGAGCCAGGCTATTACCTCGACATCCCCCACTCCTCTAGTTGATTTTTTAAATGTGTGTAGGAGATGGGGACCGGCTGGAAGGCAGTGTTTCATTACTCTTTAAAGCTTAACTAATCAATATTTTTTATATTACAAATGGATCAAGTGTCAAAGGGGTCACTTGTAGTGCTGAACCCACAGAGAATTATCACCCAACTTTGCAGTTCCCTTCAGATATTACTGAGCGTTTTAGCATCTTTCAGCTCATTGGTTTGGTTTTGCAGCCCACAACTCTGGTTCATTCTCACACAGCAAAAATCAGCACAGTTTATAGCAGCATCAGGCAGCAGATTTTAATGAAAAAGATAAACACCGTGCTCTACTTATTGATAAAGTCCCCTTGTACACTACCTGTCCAGCTTCAAACTGCAGGAAGAAGTTAGCGACAAGCTGGTGAACTTAGTGGAGCATACAGCAGCTGAAGAGCCAGATATTTCCCTCAGGAGTTGGTATAGATCAAATAGAGTAAATACTGAATTAATTCCAGGTTCAGACTACTTAATATCAGCCTGATAATATCCCAAAGGTCACAGTTATTTTTTCTTTCTTTTTTAGGCCTTTCTGAACATGAGACAGCCAGTACACTCATCACCACTGTTTGCTTACCTCCTGGATCCCTAAAGTCGGTCCCTAACAACTCCTTCCTGGTGACATCTTGTCATATTGCCATATTAACTAGTGTCAAAATGTTTAAAGTAGTGCTGTCAAACGATTAAAATTTTTAATCGCGATTAATCGCATTAATGTCATGGTTAACTCGCAATTAATCACACATTTTTATCTATTCTAAATGTCCCTTGATTTATTTTTGTCCCATTATTTTTTCTCATTTTAATGCTCTTATCAACATGGAAAAGTGGATCAGCTTGCTTTGTGCAAATGTTGTTTTTATTGAAAACAACATTGGCATATACTGTAGCGTTCAATTTCACACTAACATTCTCACTTGGAGCAGTCATTCAGTAAGAGGGAGTAAGTTGCAGTAAGTTTGTTCTTATGCTGCGATCCATTTGTCTCATAAATCCCCCGCCCGAGTTGGTAAGTGTAAATCTCGCAGTTATCTCGCGACATTTTCCCGAGACACACCCCCTTTTGGTCGTAATACTCGGGGCTCCTCAGAGTACACCGATCTGAACGAGGGTGAACGTACGACTCGCAAAACAAAGATGGCTGCTCCCATATCCATGTTGAGATGTATTTTCTTTGTATTTGTACTACGTTGGTCGTTTTAATATCGATTTTAAATGCTCCTACACACTTGTTTACTTTGCTGCTTTAGTCCGGTCACCAATTTATGCATTGCACGGTGTTGTTGTGCGTGCAATACAATGTAAAGTTTTGTTTTCTAGCTGGTTTGCTAAATAGGCTAATGTAGCTAACAATAACACTAGCCTGCCACTGCCCCCAGTGGCTCGAGACAAACGCCACAGCAATTGTTGAAATTGAAACAGGCGAAAATGGCAAAATATTATTGAAATGTAAGACTTGCAATAACGGAATTACTTGAAATGTTAGTGTTTCTGTAGAAAAACATATTATTATTTCACATTGAGCTTGTTTAGATGAGCCACAAACAATAACAACACAGCTGCTGCACTGGTGGCGTCCATGTTCTTTCCGACTCGGAACGCTATAAGTGATACCAGCCAGGCAATTACGTCACGTTCGCGCATCAGAGCAACTCGGGCGGGGGATTTACGAGACATGGATTGACCATTAGTTGTGGTATCCATGTGCTTCTGTCTGAAGTCATCCATTGTCTCCTGGCTTTGACGAGGGGGTGGAGAATGGCCATCAGGTGTGTGCTTGGCCAAAGTGGTATTTCAGACTGGTGCTGCGATGATAGCTCAGTTCACAACGACAAAACACACAGATCACTTTGGTCTTGTCAATGGAACCATTTGGCAACTTTTTAAAAGTAAACTTTCCATTCAGAATATTATTGGCATCCATTTCGGCGTCTCGCGCTCACCATCCACTCAAAACGTAACGTCTACTACTCTTAAACAAGTGTGTGCGGCGTGCCTGTTGTTTTGTTTCCGGTCTAGCTAGATCCAGTGTGGTGTTGTAGTTTTTCTAACGTTACTAGTTGTTGCAACAGCATGTGAAAAAAACTACAAAGTGTGCTAGGCCAAAAAGAACGCTAATCTTGCGATAAAAAGATTGACGCTGTCAAAATGGGTTTGCGTTAACGCCGTTAATAACGCGTTTAACTGACAGCACTAGTTTAAAGATCCCCTCCAGATATGTATTAAGACATATATACAAATTGTCTGCCTTGAACAATGTGTTATGTTTTGTTTTTTCCCCAAAAAAGTCCTGCTGGTAGGCCCCGCCCCTTAAAATCAGATGTTCAATGAGCACAGAGAATCTTTCCACTTTCAGCAGGTGAATGTGAAAACATCCTTCTAGAGTCAGACTACACATACAGCATTCAAACAGCACACTGTAGGAACAAGAAGAAACACTGATTTCTGACTGGGGGGGGGCTTTAATGTTGTGTTTACAGCTTGTTGCACTGCCTCCTAGTGGTCAATAAAAATGAATGAATGCAGGTTTAAAGAGAGAATGACCAATAACCTGGTTTACATGGACATGTGCTACATGAAATTGGCCTAGACTAGCCAGTGCTAAATATGTAAGACTAAATACTGCAGCAGCCAGAGACACACATGAACACGGAGTCAAATGCACAGTACAGTGAGCAGCCACTGCAGTGCTGGTATCCAGGCTGTAGGTCAGCGCAGAATGCCCTGCAGGCATATGGTTAATATGTGGCAGGCGGGGGGGTAATATGTCGGCTGCTGTCATCCCACTCACCTGTGAAGAACTGACACGGCGCGCGGAGAGTGAAAGAGCAGCAGTCACCTCCACATGAATCTTCACAGCAGCAGCATCATATCAAAGGACCACACGGCTCGCTCACATGAATGTTGGAGAGCTCACTGCAGTGTCTCAGTAAGGAATTGTTAGTGAGTGAGCCTAAGCCACATGAAAGCATAAAGTTGATACAGTTATGTGTGTATTGTATTTTTAAATATACAGAATAATAACCACAAGCCTTTTCTTCTTGTTCAAAAATCTAGCCATGCTTATGAAAACCACTATTCCTTTTACAGCAGTAATGTTTAATTGTGGCAGTGTTGCAGACAGTTTATTCAGGCAAAAGCTTTTGGGTGGAGGCTCACTCATTCTGGGACAGGAAACAGCCAACGTCTCCAACTGCTTTCTATCAACCAAATATATTTGTCTGGCTCCCCGCCTGCAACTCCACCACAATTAGTTAATACTTTCCACAGTGAGGGATAATGAGTGAGCAGAGAGAGGAGTGTGGGTTGAGAAAAATAACATTTTGTACCCCACTGTGTATGCTTGTCCTGTTGAATGTTTAATCTTGTTTTTATTCCGCTCAGCACATCAGTGGTGCTCTTATGCTGTTATTAGGAGAGAGAAGAGGCAGTTCTGCAAGTTTGTAGCGATTACTAAGAAAATGTGTGAGGACTGTTTCTTCTAGTGCCTGTATAGAATATTTTAAGTTTTTGTAACCTGTTTTTCTGACCTCCATGTGCCCACTGGTGTGCACACACTCCTATAGTTTCAGTCTATGACATAAATTCCAATAAAATAACCAAAATCCAGATCATTAAGTTGATTTAAATGTTGATACAATGATTTGGGTTGCTTTCAGTTGTTACTGTGGCCTCATAACAGGCTTTATGAAGAGCAGTGAACATATTGGGATTGTATGCCTTTGGTTTTGTCTCTCAAGTTATATGTAGGCTTCCATCTGATTGGTGGAATTGGTTGGAGCTGTGAAACTGACATAATGTAGTGAAAGTTTATGAACGCATTAATATATAATAGCAGGAGTAAAATCTTTATAATGGAGTGTAAAAAGAAACATAAAGCTTTATATTTTTCCATTACCACCAATCAGTTGATAAAATACATGAAAGCATTTAATTGTAAACCGTAAAGCAGCTACAGTTCATGTTTTTATAATAACTATCAAATGACAATGTGAAAACAATGTTTCAGTGTGAAAGGGGTTGCTGAACCTACAGAGAATTATCACCTGAATCTAAAGAGCTAGATGTTTCCATCAGGAGTTGATAGAGACCAAAAACAGAGCTAAAAGAGAGAATTGGACTTAAATTCATCAGGTAGACACAAACACAACGTCAAATGAATCAAATGTTGCTTCATAGGTGCTGGATATATAAATAGATTTTATTTTATTTCATATTTTCTAAAAACATGTTCAACAAAACGGTAATAGTTTCTAAAGGATTGAAAACCGAAATCTGTTGTATTTTTTGCATTAGAGGGGATCATTTTTCTCAAATTAAAGCTATTTAAATCAAAAACATCTTTAAAGATCGAGTTACATATTAACATAGGAGCCCTTCTTTGATACCACATTAACAACTCTCTCATCCATTGAACTTGTAAGTCCATGTACAGTTTCTGCCTGTATTTCCTTTGAGGATGCCCGAGTTGCCTCCCAGAGCCGCTGTTGAGGCTGAGATGATGGTGGCCACACCGTGATTCTTTCTCCCTTAATGCCCATAGCAGCCTAGGCCTCAATGGTATTTGTTGCAACAATGGGATGGTGCGTTGTCTTACATGAAAATGATTTTACTCCGGAAGGCATGGTTCTTCTTTTTATACCATGGCAGGAAATGGGCAGTTAGGAACTCCACATATTTTGCAGAGGTCATTTTGACACCCTCAGGCACCTTAAATGGGCGTACCAGCTCACTTCCCATGATTCCAGCCCAAAACATCCCTTCACCACCTCCTTGCTGACGTCACAGCCTTGTTGGGACATGGTGGCCATCCAGAACTCCATCCATCTGGACCATCCAGTGGAGCACGGCATACATCAGTGAATAAAACTGTTAGACAATTAGTCTTAGCCCACTGCAATCATGTCTCCTTGTGGGCATTGTTTAAGGGTGGCCGAAACACAGCTTGGATCTTGGGACTCCAGAGGCTTGCTGATGTACATAAAGGTGTATTTCGGTCGCCAACAACTACAGATACCTTTTTTACTACCCATCAGTGGCTTTTTCACAGCTGCTCACTTAATACTATGAATTTGCCTTACAGAAACTTTCCTTAACACGCCTTTATCTGAACGAACCCGTCTGCGCTCTGAATCAGACACAAATCTTTTCATAGGACGATGATCTCTCTTAATATTTCGGAAAATATCCAGTGGTTTCATACCTATTTAAATGCACTATTTCATACTTTTCATCTGCAGAAAGATCTTTTTTTCCCCCATATTGCATGAAACCTGTGACTTGCTTAATAATGTGGAACAACATCCTTAAGTAGTTTCCCATTAATTAGGCACATCTGGCAAACTAATAAAGACAGACCTGTCTGAGATTGATGTCAGTGATCTAAACAGACATGGGAAGCAGCACAATTGAAAACTTTCATTGAAAAACAAAAAATCTAATGTTTTTTTAATTGAAATCATATTTGCATAATCATTTGGAACACAGTCTATAACCCATGGATGACTTTCCTCCTCTTGAAAGCATTCATTTCTCTTACATTTCTGCGTTCACGGATACACCGTGAACGCAGTGATATTGCCGTGGTTACACATTTAGAAGGGGTGAAACCAACTTATTGTCTAACATCAATTCAGTTATTATTGTTTTATTATTATTTACTGCACACTATGTTTCACATAATTACACAAACTGTACAGTCATAATAAACAATTCTCAAACATTCTTCACCACTGCAACTGTTCTGCAGCGGTTTTGTCTCATCATAAACTTTAAAGTCTTAAACATCTTTAGTTCTATGAATAAAACGATTTAAGTTGCTTGAATGAAAAAACTGTCAAAAGATCTGCTAAAATAACGCCATATTTAAAGCCAACATGAAAATCCACGTTAAGCACCTCCTGAACTTTGATGTTCCTGGGTGGTTCAACCCTTTTCGAATGTGCGCCCATTATATCTCGTCTGATTCTTCTTACCTTACCAAAAACATATCCCCAGTAGTTGAGCGGGAATTCCTACAGGCCCTCTATACACAGCTCCTGTCTTTCATTGGAACAATTAATGATATCTTATTGTTGGACATTTTTGATTGGCTGTTGTTTAATTAAAATTTGAATGTCTGATTTCTAACCTATGCATTTGTAAACACTCCAATATGATTTCTGTTCTGTTCACATTTGTTTTCTCCATGGAAATTGAATTATAATGATATATAGCTATCTCACAACCCACCTCCAGCCTATATAGTCCAGCCACCAGACCAGGTGAACTTAATCTGGCTGATTACCCGACTCTACCCACCAGGCTCTGTGAGGGAGAGACCTGCTCAGAGGGTCGTCACAGCTATATGTATATTCCCTGAATATTAATGTTGATTATTATTGTCATCAGTGGAACTGTTGGGTTAAATATGTGGCTAACTAGCTTAACTGAAAATAGTAATGGCTGTAGACATGGAGCATTCAGTTCTTGCCCCTCTTCTGAGCATCGTGGATATCTGTAACAAATTTCATGACAGTCCATACAGTAATTGGTCAGGCATTGCCACAGCCAATAGGAGTCAGTGTGGCTATAAAAAAGGTTTGTGATCAAGGCGAGAACTGTGAGCATAACAGATGTTCTGAATACACAAGAGGAACTGTGTCACTAGATCTGAGCAACATGTGTCAACTTCCCAGTGTTCCCCTCCCGCTCTTTCATTTGTCTAAAAGGTGTTCACTGTGGAACAGACAGGACTGTAGTAGCCAGATAAGCACAGATCCCGTTAAAGCCTGCTAATCAAAGCTTGTTAGCAAGTGCCCTATCACATTCTCAAATACTCAGACCCTGACAGGAGAGCTGCCATATTCAAAATCAGGATTTAGTGCTCTAAACGTGGAGCTTAGAATGGCTGAAAGAGGAATAGATAAGACAAGAGAAAGGGAAGAGAAATGAGAGAACAGCAGAGGCTCCAGGCACTGACCTATCTCTCATCCACTTTCCCTGCTTCCATGGTTGGAAGTTGAGCAGCTGAGCTCTCTTCTACAGCCTTTATTTATGGCTCATTGTCACCTGCTGTGAGAACATCATTATTAGCTGATGGGCAAGAGCAGAAAGTGTGTAAATATTCTTTTAATGGCTGGCGGCCTGCAGCAGTCATCACTACGACTGAAAGTGTGATGCATGAATGGAGCAGTAATTGGGGAGAGGGGGACTGGGGTTCATATCTAGATGAAGTGAGTTGTATTCTGCAGTTTCACTTCCATCATTTACATCATAAAAGTGCAGTATGTAGTAAGAACCAACATGATTTCAATCACAATTGCATCTTCAGATTTTGCACCTCAAATGTGTTGTCACCTAACCCTGACAGCTATCTGCTGAAAACCAGACAGTGCAGTCACTCAGGACTTAACATTTATTATTATTTATTAAGGGAAGAATGTTAAAAGTACCAGGTGAGAAGACAGTATTATAATGTGGAAAATACATCAATCAGGTGAAAAATAACAAAAATGATCTCAAGCAATAACCTGACTGCGGCAGATGGTTTGTTACACAGGACCATGTAGGAAGTTGTCATTGGAAACTGTTGGGAGAAGGGCAGGCACTTTCAAAAAATACTATCTTCTGTCACTGTCACTATCAGTTCAACCAAAGTTCAACCAATCAGATCAATGAACCATACGTAGTCAAACTCTTGCTGAAGTCAGTCGGGAGAAGAAAACAACTTTTCCATCAAGAAAAGTCTTCAGTGCTGTTTTTTGCTCTACTTTCCAAGAAATACTCTCCAGTGCTGATAGAACTGATGCTAGCAGCAGCTATGCCAAGCTCTCCCTGTAGCTGCCACTACTTCCTGTGTGATCTGGTGATTTTGTGGTCCAGCTGTCTTTCTCAAGTACCCCTTCATCAACAATTCATTTCAAACTGGATGTTATTTAACTACTAATCATATTAAAGTGGATATAAAAGTGGATATTACAATATTTCTATGCAGTTGAACTCGAACTGTTTTGTTTAGTGTGGTCGAGTTGGCATTGTGCTACAGTCACATGGAGTGGCAAAAGCTGCACGTTGCAACCGTGTATCCATGACTTTTAGATAACGGTTTCATCTCCTCTGCTTGCTTGCAAATTAGCTACCACACACTCTTAATTGTAATAACACCTAAATTAATTATAGCTCAAAATGTGGATGTATTTTTTTTAATAAAAACATTCAGTCAGTTTTGTTTCAAATTAGTTGAGCTACTCTGCAATCTCTCCAATACGGCACCCGCAGTACCCACTGAGCTACAGGTACCCACTGAGCTACAGGTACCCACTGAGCTACAGGTACCCACTGGGCTACCCACTGAGCTACAGGTACCCACTGAGCTACAGGTACCCACTGGGCTACAGGTACCCACTGAGCTACAGGTACCCACTGGGCTACAGGTACCCACTGGGCTACCCACTGAGCTACAAGTACCCACTGGGCTACAAGTACCCACTGGGCTACAGGTACCCACTGGGCTACCCACTGGGCTACAAGTACCCACTGGGCTACAGGTACCCACTGGGCTACCCACTGAGCTACAGGTACCCACGGTGCTACCCACTGGGCTATAGGTACCCACTGGGCTACAGGTACCCACTGGGCTACCCACTGAGCTACAGGTACCCACTGGGCTACAAGTACCCACTGGGCTACCCACTGAGCTACAGGTACCCACTGGGCTACAGGTACCCACTGGGCTACAAGAACCCCTGGTTGGGAATCAGTGGTCTGTAGTTTTCCTGCAATACATCTTACTGCCACCAGTGGCAACAGTGAGTGCACTGCTGCTGAGCTGCACTGTGTGAGGAGACAAAGAAGACATCCCACGCCATCAGGAGCTTCACCAGGGCTCCATTAAAGATGAATGTATTGAGGGAGCCCCAGTGGCTGAACGTGGCTCTACAGTGAATGCCCAAACAAGGGAGCCTTCTGACTGTATCCAGCAATAATTGAAGTGTTGGAATTTCAGGGTTAAACATTTTAACACTTTCTGAGTTAAATGTTGTTCAGTGTTGGAGTTATTTCACAGAGTTGCTAACATCAGTGTGAGCAAACCCTCTCTGGTGTAGATGGAATTAAACTCCGCCCACAGAAGAAACGCGTTGCACTTTGTCGGTTGGAGTACGAACAATAAATCTACAGAGAATTTATTTACAAAGCCTAGTTTGTTGTCCGGACTGACTAGCTTACCGTTAGTCACTAACTTAAACCATTCCAACTTCAATGACTGTCTAACAACACTTCACATGCAAGCTCACAAAAACGCGCCGCAGCGTGTTGTACCTGGTTGTCTGTGTGACCTGGACCGGCACAAGAGGAGAGAGACCTTTCAGAAGCTTGTTGATGACCCAGGTAGAAATGTTGATATCCTCTCCACCTTCCCAAGATTCCTGGATACAAAAAGATTGGAAAATTTCAAAGTATTCTTTGTCTAGTAGTTAATAATAAGTTAATCAATATTTTCTTTCTCAAAGGTGGAACAAGACTTTACTCTTTGTTCTGAAAGCCAAGGATCTCTGATGGGGAAACAAGTGAGTTCTATTAGTTTTGCTTCTTTCTATAACTACAGTTACAGTTGTTTCATTCATTATTTTATGAATTTGGTTTATTCTGTATGTCTCCATCTTTAGCCACGTTGTTTAGAAACGGATGAAATTGTCTTCATAGGCTTTCCTTTCTCACACTAGCCAGGGAGATGTTTGAGTAATCACTTCAATAATGTAGTTTTCTCTCTCTGGTTCCTTCTCTCAGCCTCAGTCATGCTACAGTTTGGAGGATCATCTCCACAACCAGCAGGATCAACAACCGTACCTCCTCGCTGTTGGGCGTCAGAAGAACTGGATCGACAGCTTCCATGTCACCATGGATAAACATCTCATTTCATGCCAGGCAAACCACTCCCTCAAGCCACTTGATAAACATTTCAAAGCACATTTTGCCTTTAATTTGTACGATTTACATGACAATAAGATTGTGCTTTGTTTTACACATGAAAAGGCAAAAATGAATGTTATTTTTAAAATTATTGAGATTATTGTTATTGTTATAATTAATATTTAATTTTTTTTAGTGTCGATTTATTTTACACTTAAAGGGAGTAAAATTAAACTAATAGCAGTGTTATGTTGTATCAATGTTAATTTAACCCTCTTTTGCGAGTTAACGAAGGAACTAAAATGTTTAACTAGTTTGAAAGTGTTCATTTAACTCTGGAGAGTGTGGAGCTATATAAACTCTGAGAAGTGTTGAAATCAACTCTGTGGGAGTTAATTCAACACTGGGCTTTAATATCAACAGGCCATCGCATACTCTAAATGCCTGCTGTTTTCCACCATTGCTACTTGTTCCCTGCACACTGGACTGCATGCAGGTTGACTCCAGTCCTCTTCTTGTGTTAACAGCCGTGCATTGTGCAGTTAGCTTCAGTTCACTCAGGTTAACAAACAGACAGGCAGAAACTCTCCACAGTACACCACTCTCCTCCATCATTTCTGTCTTCTTCCCCTTGATCGCACATTATGTAAGACCCTCCCTCTTGAGATTGGCAACCAGTCTGTGACAAACTGTAGCAGTAGCAATGAAAACATTTGTCTGGCTTCTGTCTGAGCAAGAAACGTCTGAATTGGATCTCTGCTGTTTACTGGGTACAAATCAGTTTATGTTCCTGTGCAAGTCAACAAGTAAAGCATACCCAGACGTTGATGAAGACAGGAGCTGTGTGCACTCATGAACCTGGAAGTCACTTTGGATAAATGTGCCTGCGGTAATGGCATTGTAAATGAAGCTAATTCAGAATTTGATATCATCTTAATAAGGGAAGATAAATATCCTCATTATCGCATGGCCTCCTTTTCCCCAGGAAGCAGGCCTGTGATTCACATGTTCACATCACAGCCTCAAGGTAGCAGCAGCAGACCTGTGGCTCTCCTCTGCCTCTCATAATAGTCCATTCTTTTTGCTCTGCACCAGATAATGACCTTCACCATACTGCTCCATGATGATAGCTATTATGGATGAGTCATGGGTGAGTGGCTGTTTATGTTGGTCATCTATCTCCCTCTGTCTCCTGCACTCTCTTCCCCTCTCTGACATACAAGTAGAAATCTGCAAATGCAAATATAATGCAATAACATTAATTTGATAAAAGGTAATTTGTACTTCTACTCCATTGCATGTCTGTCTATCCTGGGGGAAGGATCCCTCCTCTGTCGCTTTTTTATGAAGTTTCTTCCAGTTTTTCCCTTGGTTTAAAAGGGTTGTTTGGGGGAGATTTTTCTTGAATTGAGGCGAGCCTTGTACAGATTGTAAAGGTCAATTGTGATTTTGGGCTATATAAATAAAATCTTACTTTACTTTACTACTGGTGCGCTTGTTTTTTAGGAAGGAGAAGAAAAGTGTACAATCTACATAATAAAAGTTGAGCTTATTTGGCAAAAGTAATCCCATTGATGTATCCTTTACATGATGTCCTATTTATCTATACTGAGTACATAGCACTAATATATGTATTTAGTGTTTATAATGTTTCTCAAATGGGGATTCACAGATTATTTGTCTCATATTCCACTGTCAGAATATAGTGAAAGTTTTGGCAAATATGACAAAAAGTCATTTTTATAAAAGTTACCTACCGCAGCTTTAAATTGTGAGTGTCAAAAAGATGCAGTTCATTGCAATCGCAATGCCGTCTTAGTGTTACTGTATAATGACAAAAAAACTGGTTTGCCATGAATTAACAGATTCTAAACACCAGAAATTAAGCATTTAAGGGTATTTCTTTATAAATACTCTTAACTGAGGCATTTCTACCAGAAATGTTTTGCGCTGGTCAGGAGGTTGGCTGAAAAATATTTCAAAGGGGTACATTAATTAAAAAATGTGGAGAACCACCGCTCTATACCAACAGGCCAACAACTTTCAGACATCAAGGAGCTACCACTGCCGCGAGAGGAGCCTTTTACATCGATGATGCTTGGTGCTCAAACGCAGTCAAAGTGGATGGACACTCTTTTTATGTGAAGATGAAACCATATTATCATCACTATCTTGTTGCGGCTGTTTACATTCAACCAGACGCACATTCAAAAGATGTACTGCAGAATTATTTCCTGCAGTATATTATACATGTATACCATATTATTCTGTGTGTAGCATGAAGGGACAGCAAACGTTGTGGTGCACCTATAGTGAAACCAGCTCTATAGTACCCTTAATAAGTTCACAACATAAACAGCTGATTTGTGCCATCTGGCTGTCTGTGGAGCACGCCTCTCAGAGTCAGCATGAATAGATATGTGGATTGCGCTTTAGACTCCTGACCTTGGTTTACATAGCAGGCTTATCATCTCTCTGTACTTTTTTTGTTTCTTTATTCTCCACGTGAAAGGATTTCCTGAGGTCTGGCATTTCCAGCCAATTCAGCCAGTTTCTTTACATCAACAATGATCATGTTGTGAATTCACTCATCCACATTGCAAGCAACCCCTGTCTCTTTTCTAGCTTCTGCTATTTTCACCCACTGTCCTTTAGTAGTGCTGCATGCAGGCTTTATAGTAAATGTATAAATGCATTAAATCCAATATAATCCAGATGGGGCTTAATGAGCTGGACCAAAAAATGTGTTCAAACAGCAGCAGAGAAATGAATGCAATCTAAAAGCAGTGGTGGGCATCACACTTTTGGTGGTTTGACACATGAAAAAAAGCAAAAGATTTCATGTAAGAGAGATCAAGTGGGGATAAAGAGAGGATCACACATTCAAACCATTTCTCATTAGAGCCATTTATTCAGTGATGAAAGAGGGAGCCAGAGAAAATGTCATTAATCCATGAACTAGCAATACGGCTGGAATTGTAATGCAGAGCGGGTAATGCATAAAACAGTTTCAAGTCATATCATTTGTGCTTTTCACAAGACCCAAATGCCAAAATAATGTTTTGTGACAGCTGAGCTTTAGAATTGTGTCGCTCACACAGAAAAGCCTCAGCTCTATTCCGTCCCTAATGACACTTGATTTTCAACCAATTTTTATCCCTTTTCTTTCATCTTTTGCTTCTGTACACTGCTGTGCATTTTAACAATGTGCATGACAGCCACTTTGAGTAGAAAAAAATTATATATATATATTTGGTCCATTTTTATCAAAAGGCTTCCAGGATCTGGTGCAGAAGCTATTTGCTGACAGCCATTTTTAATCCCTCGATTAAAAGCAGAGAAGCTTATCTCATAAAAACAGACATCCAAATCAATCACTCGATCTGCTGTTGGCTCTCAGTAAAATATTAAAATAGAAAAAAAAAAAAGAAATAGACTGGGCTTCTTTCCGCCAAATTGTTTGGAAGAATTGTCACTTGGCTGTTGCGGAGGAGCGGGGGAATAATTTGTCTCACATTTCCCTTCTGTGAGGCGACATTTGGTGAGATGTTGGAAGCCGGAATGAAAAACAGGAATATGTTTGGAGTGACAAGCACCTCTCATTGACAGACAGAGCTACGGGGGCATTTCATTTGGTGCAGATGATCAAACAATTAGCATGAATTAGACACTTTGAATATGTGGGCCTGTGTGGGTTTGCTGTTGCTTTATGCCTGTCCAGCAAACTCACTGACATACTTGTTACCTTGAGGCTTATGTTTGATTCTGGTTCAACAGCAAATTCACTCTCCTTGTGCACTTCGATGGTGAAATGTTTCAGTGATGGAACTGTAGTCTGTAGTACTGCTGCTTTTTCCTGTTACACAAACAGATCAGCTTTATAAATGACTGCATGTCTGGTTCACTTTCAAATAGGGATTCCTTTTATGAAGTGTTTATAAGATGTATGGAATGGCTTTATTAATGGTTAATGAATCATCAGCTAATACTTTATTGATCACTTATGAGCTGTTAATTAGGACAACTTTGGGGTTGCCTTGTGTGTCTAGCAGGACAGCTGCTTTGTCTTTTTCGCTCTAGCCCTTTCATTATAAAGACTCCTCCAACGGACCATTTGACTTTCTGGAAAATACTTTTGCTAATAGCTTTTAGGACAAGGAGGAACCAGTGACCATTCATTACCATCTGTGACTGCAGAGTGGAGATTATTCCCCTTTATTAATGACTTATTAACATATAAAACAAAAGAACTTGTGAACATTTATTAATAACCTGACTGTTGACACCAGCTGGAGTGATTTATCACAACCTAAAAGTTGGCCTTAGTAAGGGCTTAAAACCATAGACTAAATAAAAATGGACGTAGTCTCTGTGACGTGACCCATTGGTTTCTAAAGAGCTGTTGTGAAGCTCAGTGTGGTCGGCTCTGACCGTCGCCATCTTGGAAGTCCTGACTCCACCCAACTGTCGCCCACATCGTCGCCCACAAAAATGGGCGACGACGTAGAGTGTGGGT